GCTTTCACCAAGTCTCCTCATTGCTGCCTCTGCTGGCTCCACTCTCCTTGCTCCTTCTCACAGCCCCATGATCCTCACTGCAACCTCTGGTTCTGCCCTTCACAACTGCCTCTGCTGCTGTTTGGGGACTGTGTTATTATGGTTACCAAAGCTGTTTAGGATGTGGTTTGTGCAAGTGACACGGAACTGTGTTTTGCTGCACAGTGGTTTCACCATTTCCTTTCCCTCTTTCTGCCTAGGCTGTAATTCCTGCAGCTAAATATTCTATTGCAGAGTCCTTTTTGCCAGGAATGCCCACATGTTCTCAGTTTGAGAGCTGCTCTGGCATCTCGTTAGGGATTACTTTTCCATACACTGCATGGTGGTCATAGCCACTTGCTGCACTTTGAATACAGAACTGTGGTCAGAGCAGATGGTCACTGCTGCTTTTGAAGCCACGTAGGGCTTGTTTGACCATCTCTGGGGGTTGCACTTCCCTGTCTGCATCAGATCCTATGGGTCACTTCTGGGCCGAGACCATTCTGCCCTATCTCCCAGAAAATGTGTTTCAATGTCCTCAGCTTTGGATAAATAAGCCTCACAGCAGCCAAATCTCCAGCAGGCAGTAAGAAGTCGCATCAGGAAACAGCTTCAATTGCTGCGTAGTCAAGGCCAGTTCAAGAAGAGGCTTGGAAGATTTTCCTACTGTTGTGCTGGAAGCTCCTGCTTCCCTTGATTTCTTAGGGGAAACAAAAAAAGTAAAACCCAGTTTCTGTGCGTGACCTGTGGAGACCCGGCGCATCCTGTGCTAGTGCTAGGAGCAGAGGAGGAAAGTAATTGCATTCAGCAGTTGGAAGGCGTGGGAGGCAGGATGGCTTTGTGCGGTGCTGGAGGACGCTCCGTACATGCATCCCTCCTAAACAAATACCTCTTTAAATGTCTATTATGGGAATTCAGGGAACAGCTTTTTTTCTCCTCCTCTCCTGCAAGTAGGGAAGAGGCTTATTAGTGCTCTCCTTCCATAGGCGAGGTGCAGAGGCTGGGAAGCTGTGAGATGAGTAGCATTTGGTTTTATCAGTCGAATCTGCTCTCTCCTGGACAGTCACTTCAGCCAGTAGGATGAGGAAAGGAAACACAAGGTGCTGGCAGGAGTGTGACTTCTATAGGAGGAAGCACATAACATCATTCACCACAGCTACAGAAATGACCTTTTTGTTGTTCATGTGTCAGTAGGAAAGAATTACTTTCATGATAACTGCTTGGTGCATCCATGCCGGAGATGTACTTGTTGAAGAAGATGTATGTCACCGATGTGCGTGTCAGAGTAACGGTATTCTTCTAGACATGGTGTTATTTGCATGGTGGAAGAGCACTGTAGGCTTGGGCGGTCAACTTAGGTATTTTTCCAGAGTATATTTTGTTCACAGGCTCTGAGAATTCCCAGGGGGCTCCTGCTAAGTACGGGAGGGAACGGGAGGTTTCAAGGTGAGATGTGATGGAAGTGGTTTGGGCAGTCTCAGAGCTCCAGACAGATGGGGCTGGAAGAAAAAAGATGCTTCAAGCATCTACTCAGTCACAGAGCAAAGAAAAACAGAGGAACTGAAGGTGCAGGGGTGTGAAATGGGAGTGAGAGCTGACAGCCCCAGGCTGAGGGGCAGGGTTATACACAGCTCAGGAGGGACATGTCTGCAAGCAGCAACCTGGCCTTCGGTAAAAGAGAGTTGGGCAGGTCCACAGGTTTTCAATGGAGCTCAGCTGTGAACAAGACAGAGCTGGCCAATGTGAGAGTGGAGGATAAAACCGGTGCTTGCTAAGAGGAAGCCAGTGGCAGGGGTGACTGCAGCCCTGCTCTGAGGGCAGGGGAAGGTGCACCCAATGGGACAGCTGTAGTCGGGGGTCAGGGGAGGCTGCTGTGCTCAAGCACAGAAGGGTTTGCTGCCCTGAAGGGGAAGGAAAGGCACATATTCCAGTGTTCTATCTCATTGTTGCTGAAAGAGATGAATCTGTCATTATTTACTGCCATCTGTTAGGCAAGAATGGCAGCTGCTAACAAGGATAAGTTACATCTCCTAACGTCTTTCATCCCCCAAAACTTGAGCCCCCAGGGGATTTACAAAGACAATGCAACCAATTTGGTGCTATAAGAAGAGTTACACCTCAGACTAGACTCAAACAGTGGAAATTTAGCTGTTCTTTGTAAGCTATTTGTATCTCTGGCAACGTTACATTTAGATGAGTGTGTTTATGTGACTGCTAACAGCCAGTACAGCCCATACCCTCTCTTGAGAGGTTTGGCCTGGGTACATGGTTATAGGAGGGTTGGCATCATGTCCCTGTCTGTGACAAACCTCAGGTGGAATTCATCACATTTTTGCTTCAAAAAGAGATTTGTCTCTCTTTTTTTGTGTCCCATATTTTAAAGGCCTGGGTACATATCCACTCACAGTAAGATTTAGAGGTGATTAAAGTGAGCTGGGAAGCAGATGTCTGACATCAGTGTAACACAAAATGCCTTCCAGGCACTTCTTCCCTTCCATGGTATTACCCTGATCTTACTCCACTGATCCCACTTAGATGAATTTGTTGTTGGGGGAAACAGAAAATGCAGAGGGAGAAGCAGCAGTACAGTTTATGCAGTTAGAAGTGTCCAGTCCTGCAAGTCAGATCCAACACAGTAAGTGTTTTGTGGCTCCTCTGCTCCCAGGTCTGGTGATGGCTGACGGGATGACCTTGTACACGTCTCCTGGGTTCCTTGTGCCTCGGTTTCATCACTTATAAAGTAAGGATAATGTCTTGTCTGCAACGTGGTGTAAGATCTAGTAATAAAAAATACTAGGAAGGAGCTTAGGTGTTATTACTATTTTATATCTACAGCGAATGCAGATACCAAAGCAAATGACAGGCAGAGCAGGTCACCCCGTCCCTTGATCAAAATGAGGGTGAGAGAGGGAAGGGAATTTCTTAATGGGAGCAGCCATCTGTCAGGCATGCAGAAGAAATTACTGAAGTGTGTTATCAATAGTTATCAAAACTTGCTGGAGCGGAAAGGGTTTTAAAATGCTAATGAGCTTTCACTTGTGGTTCCATGGCTGGGACAGTTGGTTTCCTTTCTGCATGTCTCCAGGCTGAGCAATGACTTTGCATTGCCTTTCAGTCCCGGGTTCTGGGTCTCTTGTGCTTCTCTCAGTGTGGTTTCTGGAGAGGGTGAAGTCATCCTCGCTGAACTGTTTCTCATGCTTATTGTTTTGCATTGTGTGAAGTGGGCTATTTTAACAAAACTCTACATTTTTACAATGCCAAGAAGTAGGAGCGTTGATTGCATTCCTGCCTCCATGTCCTAAGGATGTGCATTTCCATTTTATTGTCTTCTATTTTTACTTCATTTTTGGGGAGGAGGAAGGGCTGGAACATCCTTGGGACAGGCAGCGACCATCCTGGGCTGGTGTGGTTGGGGTGTGGAAGGAGGGACATGGTGCATGTCCCGGGCACCCTGGGGAGGTGGCACGTAGCCCATGCTTGGCATGCATATGAGCTGCCCCAGCAGCCCCCAGGCAGCTGCAGAGATCCAGCTGTGGAGAACCCCTCTGCTGCCTCTGGCTTCTTAAGGCTCATTTAAGCCCTAAAATAACAACTACCCCACCCTGCTGAGGGAAACCGGCTGGGATTAGCCAAAGTCTCCCATTCCTGCTGTCTAGTGAAACAAGGACTTTCCCCTCTGTGTAAATAGGATGACACTGCTCCCTTCCCCTTCTCCCTCAAGGGGAGCGCTGCGCTTCAGCACGCTGCTCCTGCCCTCTGACAGTTCCTGCACATGGTTTACAGCTCAGGGCATCCAAGACAGCGGGAGACATATGCTAACCTAAGAAGACAGCAGATGGGTGCAGGCACTTTTAAGAACAGCTGCTGGTGTCTCATTCGATGATCCCATTTTTAACAAATCCATGCGATAGCAGATACTGGAAATTAGGTTTTTCTGTCCCCTCTCATCTCCTGTGCCATACTTGACCTGTTCCACATGATCTAGGGATTAAAGGCTTGTTATTTTAGCTTCCTGACAGTAAATCTGAGCCTGGGTTATGCCAGGCCATTGAGCTGCTGGCTCTTGGCTCTCACCCTCTTTCCAATTCTTATGTGTCAGGATAGTTCACAGATGTGACTTTTGCTAAGGGTCGTGGTGGTTTTTCCCAAGCACTGTGCACCATGGCATCAGCCCGGTGCATTGGTTTGGGCATGTTTTGTAGCTCTGGTGCTCCCATGTCTCCATCCTTCAAACTATGAAAACTGTCTCAGAGAAGAGGCTCAGCAGCATCACCCCTGAGCAGCACAAGTGTGACCGGGAAGAAGGAGAAATCCCTTCCTCTTCTCTAATGGGGCTATAAACATGCTTTTACATCTGAGATCCAAAGGGAGAGGCAAATCTTGTCAATGCTGCACTTGGGGCTGTCAGCTGAGGTGTCCTTCGTCTCCATGGTATTGGTGTACTTCAAACTAATAACGAATTTGACAACACAACACTCCTGCTACAACCCTCAATTCCAAAGCGGGGTAGCTGTGTTACCGAGATGCCAAGTGGCTTATCCAAGGTCACCCTGTAAGTAAGTAGCATTGAGGGGGGGAAAGATTCTGGTATATCGACTCTCAAGTGTTTCACAGTGCAGCTCGTGCCCTTTGGGAAGGTTTTGCCGATGCAAAGGTCTGTCCTGAGGATAAAGCTGTCATTGCCAGCTGTGCCCTCCTGCTTTTTGAACCATTTCTTTCTTTCCGAAGGGCAAAGATGTTTTTCTGTAAGAGCGAGAGGCGAAAGGTGATCTCCTGGGGCCAATGGGACCCTCTTGGAAAGAGGAGCCCCGGCTCAATCCCGCCCCGCTGGCTCTCCCCGTATCTCCCTACCCCCTTTACCACCCCGCGCAGGGCGGAACGCGACGGGACCTGGGCGGGTTCGGGGAACCCGCAGCCCCCGGCGCCCCGGAGAGGCACAGGGGAGGAGGGGGGGGCTGGCTCCGCCGGGGGTGGGGCCGCGGGCGGTGCGGGGCGGAGCAGGGGGCGGTGCGGCGCGGCGGGGAGCGGAGCGGAGCGGGGAGGCGGGAGGCGGGCGCTGTCCATGGCCCTCGGAGCGCCCCGGGCTCCGCCGCGCCGCCGAGCGGAGCGATGGGCAACACGGTGCACAAGACCCTGGCAGGTACCGGCGGGGCGCGGGGGGCTGCGGGGCGGGGGGTGCTTCTTGTCCCGGGGGCGAACCGGAGGCAGCGTCCCAGGGGGGTGTCTGTGCCGGCCCCGGGTCCGAGCCCCGTGCCCCGGGGGAGCGGCCCGGAATAAGCCGAGTGTTGGTAACTGCGGCTGCTTGCAATGGTCCCCGCTGCGGCGGGCACCGGGGCGGTGATGCTGAAGCGGCGGGGCACAGCTTTGCCCATGTGAGAGCTACAAAAGCGGGCGAGCGGAGCTGTTCCCCCAGCTGGAGCAGCGATCCCTCAGCCTTTCGTCGGATCCTTTAGGGGATTTCTTTGCATTCCTCCTGCTTTTTCTTTTTTTCCTTTTAATTTCTTTTTTTTTTTTCTTTTTTTTTTTTTCCTTTTTTTTTTTCCTTCCTTTTTTGAAGCGACTTTTTAATATAGAGACACGTTGGTTGATCAAGAGTCTCCAAAAGAAAACTGTTTGAAAGCAGGTCTGAAATGTTTGGTAGACCGCCCTTGTTTTAAACTGCCTCTTTAGTGAATTCTGCCCTTACACAGGAGATGTACAGATTCTTTTCCTTTGCAAGTTCATAGTTGTGAGGTTTTTCCTCCTCAGAGAATCGGTGCATAATGAAAGCAGTTGGTCTCTATAGAATCAACAGTATTGAATTACTGCGCCCTTGCCAGTCTGTATCTTCAGCTAGTTTGCTTTTCTTTTCTGCTCTTGCAGAGCTCCTGCATTGCATCCTTTGTACTTTGGGTTCACATAAATAAAAAGGGTATTATTAAACTTATTAAAAGAAGCAGGAGGACTATTGAATACACACACATGCTTCCCTGTAATCAGCCAGGGAGCTGAATATAGAAATAAAGAGAGGAATAGATTTGCATTTGTATGTGCCATATATATTGTCTTTGCAAAGAGAGGGTGCTTGGGACCTTCAAGGCATAAAAGAAAGCTGCCAGGCTTGTGGTTTCACTATGAACCTGTGATTAGATTTCTTGCTGCATATCTCCTTTCATTTTCTATTACATTTAAATGGGAAATTAGCTCCTTTCACAATAAGGAAGTTTTAATTTTCTTAAATGCTTCACCAACAGGCAAATAAAGGCATTGTGAGGAGTGCATGACCTTGAAGAAAATTCATTTTGTGGATTGGCTTTCCAGCTGGAGGCAACATCAAGGGGCACATGAAACATCTGAGAGAGCCAGGGCAATATCCTTGGGTCGGGGGAGGTTATCTCAGTAAGGCTAGAACTTCCCAGAGGAAAAATCTCTGTGCCTGCTGGGATGTGGGATCTGGCTGTGAGCTCTGCTCCAGAAGGCTGAGAGTTGTATCAGCCATTCTGCCTCTTGCTAGAACAGTCTCCCCTGAGCAGCCTTCCCATGCACAGCCTTACACACGTGAATTTAAAAAAAGGGATGACATCAGTTGCACTGCAGTTCTGTGATTAAAGAGTTCCTCGCGGTGCTTTCAAGGGAAGTTGTTAGAAAAGGGGGAAAGTTTGATGGAAAAAACTGAAGCCTTGATTTATGTAGCCCTCCCAGCTCAATCATTGCTCTGGTGGCTTAGAAAATCCCCGTCCTGTCCTGCCAGGTGGAGACCGTCTCCAAGGATTGCTCTGCTGGGGATAGTCCATGCACAGACATTTGTCAAATCGTGCAAGGCAAAACCATGCCGGACACTTGAACACCGTTTGCTGATGTGCTGGAAGATGCTGAAAATGTGTCTTTCCCCCCAGATTTAGCTGTGTTCGGTTTTCCCAGAGTAATGACAGTCAAAAGAAGCTGCTAACCTGTGGCTGCAGGAGAGATTTTTGGGTGGTTGCAAATTGTGTCAGGTTTGCCACAATTCAGCAATTTTTCTTATCAGTGTAATTGGATCAATCAGATCCGTTGTTTGTCTTTCATTTTCCAAATGACATTACAGGTTTAGAACTGTTCTTGGAACACTCCTTTTATAATGATAAAGTTTTTCTGGAAGACTGAATTGTTGGATGAAATCCTATTTATAAATGCATTGCCTGTTTCGAATTGCTCAAAGATAATTGGTCAGATAAAGTCTTTCCTCTACTTTGACCAAAAGGCACCTCTTTCTTCACCCTGGCAGACTGAGCAGTGCACTTTCATTTAAAATAATAGAGAAATTGCTCTCCCCTGTCCCATGGGCTGAAGTAATTTATTAAACCCTCAAACAAATGGAACACCCCCAAACTAAAATTTGCCTACATGTTGTGTTAAATCAACAGGTTTTGATTTAACAATGAACAGATGAAGAGGTAAATCAACTGGGGAAGCCTACAGGTTTCCCTTCTCTTGTTTCTTTCACCAGGAATAGCTCAAGGTGGAAAATGTCTTTCCACTCTGATTAAATGTAAAGAAAACATGGAGGGATCTTCATCATTTGGCTCCTAGAAAAGCCAAACAATCTACAGTTCAGGTTCTATGTAGAAAAGGAAATACTCTTCTCAAATAGTGAAATTCAATTTAAAATCCTAACGAACACAGTGCAACTCATTTGTATATCTAAATTTGTTCAAATATGTTTTCTGTGCTTGTTGCATCTTTAGATCCTTGCACAGCCTCACCCTTTCTCTCCACAATTTCATGTAATGTTACAAAAGCACACGCTATTCGTGCCGGAGAAATTTGTATTGGGAGCTTGGGAAATCTGTGTTTGCCAAAAATCTGATGGTTAACACACAATGGATGAAGGTTTTGTCAAATTAACAGTGAGGTTTCTAACCAGAGTGGTATTGAAATGAGTAATAGGCTGGGGCTAATGAAAGGCAGCTTCTATATTTGAACCGGTTGAGGAGGCATTTGAATGGAAAAGAGCTGAGATGTGTCAGATACGCTTAACAACGGTCCTGAGGTGGTGGTGGAAATCGCTCTTGTCTAGATGACAGCTAAATGATGCACGACACATTCCTCCAGCAGGACGGGTGCCTCCTGTGGCTGGCCTGACCCCAGAAGGGTGAGCAGGACCTCTTCGCCTGCAGGATCCACATGGTGCCAGCCCTTCCGGCATCTCCAGTGGGAGAATCTCCTGTTGCATCTCCAATGCAGCGTGGGAATTTACGCTTGGATGTCAATATTTTCTTGCCTCCCTCCCCTTACCACTGCCCATTGTTTGAGGTGATTTGCAGGCAGGTGGTTAAGCAAGAGTGAATTCTTTATTATTGAGGCATGCCATTTTTGTGTCTCCTACAGGTGATAAACTAGGTGTGCAGCATTGCAGGTGATGGGTGGAACTTGTCCGGACCTGCAGAGTGGGCTGGGAGGCCGCGTGGATGTTGGTGATGGATGGGTTGCATACCAACATCAGGCTTTGTGGCTGCTCTTATCTGTGGTGCTCTCTTGAGTTATCTCAGTGGTGAGCAAGGCAGCAAACAGCACACATCCACACCCCAACGCCATGGATGGTGCTAATTTCTCCATGCTAATTGCTTGCCTTGGCAGACACTTCAAACAGGGCACAGAAAAGGGCTAGTAGCCAGATAGGGGCATGAAGCATCCCATGAAGATGCAGGACTTGAAGACTGGCAGGCTGGGAGAGGTGAAAATTCTCCTGACCTGGTGAGGTCCTTACATGGAGCTGCAGGGTGCAAGAAAAGGCTTGGAACAGCATCTAGGATAGCTGGGGAGGCAGCAAGTGTCCTTGTGGTGCACCACAGCAGGGTGAGCAATGGACAGCTGCTGCCACAGACGGGCAGGAGGCACTCACTGGCCAAAGCGTGAGTAAAGGACTTTCCAGTTGGGGTCCAGTTGTTGATCCTGGCCCAAATAGGGCCACTGGTATTTAACAAAGGAGCCACATTCCCTTTTAAGAATCTGCCTGGGATCTGATTGCAGTGCTTCTCCTACAGCCTTCCTCACAACTGCGAGGAATACGAAGTATGAGTGGCATTTGTGTCTGGTAAACGCAAGGGAGAATGGGGCTTGTTCTGGCAGAAGTGACTTCAATTTCTTATTTTGAAGAAATTATTTTGTATTCTTAAGAAAGATGCTTTTAATAACTAACCCTTTGTCAGCAACTCAGAAATCCCAAGTTTAGACCTTCACCAGGCTGATGATCCCATCTGCTAGTCTTTTGCAAAACACTGATGATTGTAGGGTCCCAGTTACAGTAGAGCAGCAGGAATTTATGGCTTGTGAATAAAAGATGATGTTTCTGTCTGTCCTTTTTAAAATACTGATGTCAGTTATCATAATATGCACACTTCTTTTGTAAGAAATGAGTATTAAAGACCACGTAGTGGGATAAAATCTCTCTGCCTTTTCTAGGGGCTAAAATCTCATCTTCAAGGAGCATTTTTGATTAGATTCATTCTCTGTCCCTCCTCCCCCTTCAGCTACTAGTGATACACTGTAGGAGGAGTTCTCGGTATTGTGAGTAGGGAATTAGTTCAGTAAATTGTTTGGTTTGGTTCCAGTCTGACTTCAGTTAAACTACAAAATAACACTTCAGGTTGTTCTGGTTTGAGTGAAAAAGGTATCTGTTCAGACCAGTTTTTGGTTTGGGTTTGGTTTACCTCCGATCAACACTGATTACAGGTGTTAATTCTGCCTCAATAACAGCCTTATATTGCCTGTTTTTCTGCCTTTTCTAGGCTGGGAGTTGAGGTTTGTAGCGCCTGCCATTGATTTTGCTTCTGACTCTGTGTGTGACCTTTTGAGCAAGTGGCTTTATCGTATTCTTGCTTTGCATGTAAGGGAGGTAGGAAACAATGTTTGGCTTACATGGGTATATGAGAGTTAATTAATTAACATGCAGGCATAAAGCATCTCCAGGAGGAAGGTCATAGAGGTGCAAAAATAGATTAATTCATTGCTTCTTTTGTAGCTTTCTGCTTTTCTACTCTTCAAAAGGAAACCTTGTGAAGCTGCTCAGCCTTCACTGTGATTTAGAGCTGGAACAGGTTGATCGTATACCGAGAACTATCTTTAACCAGCCTCGCACAGCACATACCCAAATCTGTGCTGCAGCCAACTGGCATGATTAAT